ATGCATCAAATTAGTTCTATTAATTTCGCGTATTTGCTATAAAAATATTATTTAAAATAAGTATTAAAAAACACATAGTCAAAGCAAGTTAGGTTTCCTAAATAGGTTTACATTTCTTTATTGAGTTGAAAATATGTTCTTCCTCCTAAACCATGTGTCCTCTTTGTTATATTATAACAAAGAGTAATATAAGAGCTAATATTAATTATAAAAATTGTTTGGATAATATTTTTAACTAATAAGTGTCTCATTTACCAACACACGCCACGGCCATGACATGTATTTAAAAAACTGTCCTCGCAAAACTCTCAATCGTTGAACACTTAAACACTTCAATTAGAGTTAAAGCGTAAAAAAAACTGCCTCCGGAGAAGCTGCCTGCTGAGAATATTTCCAAAAGTCCAGGGTCGCATAGGCGCTTTGAGGTTAAAATATTCAAATTGGTAAGAAATAATGGAGCGAATAACGTTTCTTTGAGTTCGCATCAGCGAGGATGGAATGTGCCCCAGCCTGAAGCTTTATGTTTTATTTGTAAAAGGAGCTTTGGATACATAATTCTTTGTACTCCGCTTCACTGTGTATACTACTATTAGTGGCAATATAAATAACTTATGGTAGTTTGAGATAAATCGACATTGTCTTGACTTCAAAGTATATTTCTATAATGCTATGGAAGAATGACGAATTAAATTTAAATTCCATAAAAAAAGATTCCCACAAGTGTCATTGTGCGTAAGTATACTTTACATTTTACTCAAAAAACTATTTTAAGATCCTGGAATTTAATTTTAATTGAATAGTTTATTGGTTTAATTTAATTTATTTGAATTTAGTTTTGTTGAAATTAAATTCAATAAAATTATTGAACAATCAATAATTTCCAACAGCTACCAAACAAATCAGGTTTCCTTACACTGATTATAGCACTCAAAGTAGTTAATTGTTGCATTTACTTACTTTTTCCTACAGTCACCCGATAAATTGGGCTTCCTTGCTCAAATTTTAGTACAGAAAGCCTTACTTTGGCGCACAGTTTTTGTATTCCAACCAAATGCAGATCTAAACAGTGTTTTTTTTTTAAGGCAAGTAATACATGTACGCTTGAAAATAAGTTGGCAACACATAAAGATTCTACGACTACGATCAGCTGGTGTAGCGATTCACAGCCTTTGACTATTGATAATACGACTTAACCTGTTGTTTTGTGTTTACATTCTATTTTCGTCCAAAGCTTGGATTCAACCTAACTTAAAACGTGTTATTTAGAGTTTGAAAGACTAATTATTTATATGCTTTACAGTAACTGTAGGAAAAATATAATGTTTAATACGAGCCCAAAGTGCCACTTCGCACACTACAAATAACTATAGAATATCGTTCACTCTGCATAAAAAGTAAACACTTCACGATTCACACTCAATGGTACGGTACTCATGTCACTTGTTTATTTCCACCACGTTAATTAAAGTCGAATCTGTTAATGAAGAAGCCCCACTGCGGCACACATTAACATTAACACAACAGGTGGTTTGTGTGTGTGTGCGTGTGTGTGTGAGTGTGATGAGCTCATATAATGATGGTAGAAAGTAACTTTCCTCCACGCCCTTGAGTGCCGACTACGGTAATGTTGGTTGTACGAGAATTCTTACAACTTTGTGTTCCGCATGACAATCAATCGGTCGAGCTTCAGAACGATAACTCGTCTAGTTTGAGGCAATTAAGCATCGTAGAGAATGAGAGTGTTTCAACATTATTTGTAGGGTTTGTATGTGTTTGGTTAGTTGCGAGAAAGAGGTCATTGAACTTATTGAAATATTAATCAGTCTTAGGCTACTCAAGTTTCACTATTTATTTTTGTATCTTGATTCAGTGCAAAGTGGTATTAAAATAATATTGTCACAGTCCTTAGATGGGAAGATGAATGACGTTTGGGGTACCCCACCTGACCTGAAGCAATGGCGGTTTCAATGAATGTCCATGTGATTTTAATGCTAACGTTAACAACCTGCACTTCACGATGCAAATTTCCGTTTTGCGCGAATGAAAATGTAATTTCTTCTTGAGAACATCACTTTTACTTAGCCTACTGTAAAAGTGATGTTTTATTTTCTCGTACCGTCTGATTTACCTTTAAAAAGTGGGGGGGGGGATCCAGCAAGCCTGCCCCTTAAACCACATAAATTTGTGAATGGACGATACTGACTAAGATCAGCTGGTTCATTAGATAGGAAAATATTAAAGGCTTATTATGTTTGACCATATATAAAACATACTCACTTGTGTTGGTTAGTCTATGGTTTGACTCAATTAAAACCCATCAAAAATATACTGAATTTTCTCATAATCGAACCGACAACCATATGATAAGCATGTAAACAAAATAATGACGTCACTACCTCGCTATCCATATAAAAATATGGACACTGTCACAATTTTACGGTTTTACCTCCGAGTTTTACGGAAGTATGGAACCATCTGGAAAAGCAACAATTTGTTGTATTATATCATAAAATCGATCTTTGTAGTCTACGTATCTACTAGTATGTCACATGTACCTTTGACTCAATACTCAATGCATGCACTAATCGTGCAAAAAATACCGAATCATCGGATTGAGATCATCGATAACTCATCGATAATCGCGTCGCGACTGAGTGCGTTAATGATTGTGACACAAGTGTTGAAGAGACTTCTCAATTAGCAAACGACTTTCGCTAAGTTAGCATGACATTAGTCAGTGTGCCTGGAAAGTTCTTGCAACTTGAGACTTAATGTTTCGCAACACCAAAACATTACGCGACTTTAAACGAGACTCCATCAGGAAATAATTAATCAATTTAAGCTATTTTAAACTTTTACCATCTGCAGTAAGTTTATTACACCCTGTAGCGTGTTTAATTTGGTTTTTTAGATGTGGATTTGACGATTTTTCTACATAACGTTATTGTTTGATGCCGGGAGTATAGCTTAGTTTTTTTGATTGTTACAAAAGTGCAACTTAAGTTTTAAAGTATGTTTTCTAATCTCAATATAACTAGTTTTCCCCCTGCAATACAATTTACAACATAGTGGCTTAGTCTAATAACTATTTATTTACTAATTAAATAAATACAGAGAAATATCATATGTATATAGATAAAATTAGAGTTTTGTCTGTACATTGCTCAGAATTATATATTTTTAGGTTATTTTTACGTTTTATACATTAAAGAAGCAGACACGAGTCTTTTCTCTATTTCTGTCTGTCTGTAACACTCAAGATGGCATTTTGCGCTATCTTCTCCAGGAAAACGAGAGTACCTATCACGACCCAAGTCATTTTAATGTATTCACTGGATTGGCGAGAGTGTCTTTAGCCATTAAAATATGGCCTCACTATTTTGTAAATAAAATTACGGTCGTTAAAAAATCAACTCATAGTTGACATCAGCTCTTCCGAATGGATAACCCATCTAAGAGGACTATGTTTCAAATACGGTAACTTGTACACGCAAAAGCTATAAATCAAATAAAATGTCAAACAAAATTAAACGTCATTATATGTAGTTGTCTGCCTCGTCGCAATTCTCCCTAACCTGATTGGTGCAATTTGATCCGAACTGCATCAGTCAAAATTGGGTACAGTTCAATCAGAATACAATAGTAGCTCTAAAGTACAATGCAGCTTTGGCTTTTGTTTTAATGTCGATTCTAATTACTTGTTATTCCTGCAATAATAATGTCGTTCCAACTATTTATTAGGTTGATAAATAATTTAAAAAAATATGTGATATATACAGAATCTTAGAAGAGTTCTGAGGTTATAATGTAAATGTACTGTCATTTTTGACAGTTTCCTTTGTATATAAATACAAAAGTACATTCAAACACAAAAAGTTAAAGTTAGGCCTAAAGTTAAAGTTGTACATTCGGTCAGTTAAGTAAAGTTATTTGTTTATTTTTATGATTCATACCATTAGCACTGCTAATATCATTAATTATATCTATGCGAGGCCGAGTTACCAGGGTGCTAATGTTAACAATATATAATGGTTTAAATACCTTCACATCTCATGATGAATTTTGTTAATATAAATTTGTTTACGTACCTTACGTCATCGATCATAATTTAGTCTTGGGCTAACCAATACCAAATTAGGATTGATGGCGTAGGGTATGTAAACCTATTTGTGTTATCATAAAATTAATCTGAGAAGCAATGATAAATAGGCTAATTTTTTATTTGACCGAAGGATAAGTTTTAAGTGAATTTTAAGATAGCTTTGTTTTCAAATCACCTAGCTCTGTAGTAAGTAACATTAATTTTCCATAAATCCGTATGAGGTTTAGGTTGGTATTATCTAGAACAGTTCGGTATGTTTTTGAAACGTCGAAAAACTACAACTCTCGGGATCGAACGGGTAGCCATCTGAATAAAACTACATCTCTCGGGATCGAACGGGTAGCCATCTGAATAAAACTACAACTCTCGGGATCGAACGGGTAGCCATCTGAATAAAACTACAACTCTCGGGATCGAACGGGTAGCCATCTGAATAAAACTACAACTCTCGGGATCGAACGGGTAGCCATCTGAATAAAACTACATCTCTCGGGATCGAACGTGTAGCCATCTGAATAAAACTACATCTCTCGGGATCGAACGGGTAGCCATCTGAATAAAACTACAACTCGGCTGACTAGTTATATAACGTATAGTTAAGCTACCAAATAAATTTAAATATTTAAAACATAATTTGTCTTTACAACTCTTTGCACAGCTCCAATCTTGTGGGATTCACTCAAAAATCAGATCTGACCTCACAAAACTATAAAAGAGATGTAATTTCCGACCCTAACCTACTACCCTATGACCCTATGACGTCACAGGACAACCTGCCCTGGTCCACCGTGTAAGGTGCGCCCTGTGAGGGTGGGGGACAGTTTGGCACCAAGGACGTAGAAAGTGTTTTCGCCGCCCAAGGGCACCTTCGAGTACCGCCCCGGACACAACTCCAGTGTGTGCGGTTCCTTACTGAGTGCTGGTTGTGTTTCTCCTCAATTGTATTGCTTGTTTATATATTTTTATTTATTTTAGTTTTCTTATTATTTTAGATTTTTTTATGTTTGCTCCAGTGTTTTAGAATTGTTCATTTAAATTCAAATATTTTATTTTATTCTTTTGTTTGGGTTTTCCTTCAATTTATTTTCTATTTCTTACACTTTAATTGTGTGTTCGTAATTTTTTGTAAATTTTTATTTTTTGGTTTTGCTTTTTATATTATTTTGTTAACACAATCATGTTTTTAAATTAAAAGATTGATCGACTTCTGTAAAATTTTAGTTTTATTTTAACAAGTTCTATGGGGAAAATGTGTGATTGAAATTAAATTGAACTTATGCTTTTGAACGTGATTTATTTTTACATCGGTATTAAAATGTATTGTTAAAAATTCATATAAACCTTTGATCAGTACTGTTCTGTTCATTAGTGTGCAATTACCTTGAAAATATCGTAAATTATGTCAGTAAATTATTATTCCAAAAAACTGTATTAAGAAAAAAAAATAGGAGGAACAAAATATTTAAATATAGGCCTTCCATATTAAACCTTAAATTGTTTTATATATAACTTGAATACTAAAGAGTATCACAAGCTTACACAAATAATAAACAGTATTATTTAAAGATAAATTTATATACAAATAATAAATTTAACAAATCCGATAGGAATGTATAGGAAACAATTTGATATACTCTACATAAGGTTGATGTGAATATTTAAAATAATACAGAGCTTTTTAACAGATATTTTTGTGCCTCTAGAACAAATAATCAAACAAACGAGACTTGATTAGGCGACTGAAATGTGTTTGTGAAAAGTGGATAATATTGTGACTGCAAAAATAAACTCATTATCAGTTGGCAACATGAGTTTGGTTCTACCAGTTCTCTTATTGGGGTGAGTAATATATAAATTAAATAATAAATTAGATACATTAAATAATATTTACAATAGTTTATTTATATTAAAAATCACTAAACAATCATAAGATGTATTTTGAATATGTGATTTTAATTAAGATGTAAGGTGTAAGGTGTACGAATCAGTTGTTGTCATAATGTCAGGTAGGTTGTAGGTTGTATAAAATTCAAAATTAATGTTCCTAATTTGAAGTTTAATTGTTATCTATATATTAATTTGAAACTGTTTTTCTTTGTCACAGCTATTTTGAGAGAACGGCTGGGCGTAGAAACTCGGTAGAGGTGTCTAAAGAAAGGTCTTGGTCTGTAGATGAGCCATCAAAAGAGAAACATGGTGAATTCCCTTGGGGCTCTGCCCCAGTGGCCTTTGAATTCCCATCCTATGTTATTCTTATGGAGGAAAACAGGGTTTTTGTCACAGCTAATTTGAGAGAACGGCTGGGCGTAGAAACTTGGTAGGGGTCTCTAAAGAAAGGTCTTGGTCTGTAGATGAGCCATCAAAAGAGGAACGAGGTCAATTCCCTTGGGGCTCTGCCCCAGAAGCCTTTAAAGTTGCCTCCAGATTTGTTTACATTACGACCATATGCATAATTCTACACTACTTTTTAATGAAACTGCTGTTAATATTTAAATTGTGATTTATTGAATTTGTCAAAATGAAGTACAGTATTTGCAATGGGTTTTTCTGATTTTAAAATGGATTTTCTTCTGCATCGTGTCATGTTTTGCAATATAATGTTCTATTACAAAATCTGTGGAAAATCCTATTATCACAGTAACTCTTTTCTTTTGGAGTTAACTGATATCTATTGTATGGGTTGGTTTCTGCCTTTTTTACCACTTCTTGGAGATTGTACGTAGGTGATATTCGTTGGCATATTGCATCTGTAGACGGTTGGTGTATACAATGGAAAAGAGTGAGAAATCCTGGACAATTTGATATAGGCTAAAAATAAAACTGAATTAACACTGTTCTACATTTATTGAGCAATCATTGAAATAACTGATTTGCAAACAATGGAAACATAGAAAAGGTCATAGAACACAACCAAGTAGAAGAAATAGAAATAATGTTTTTTTTTTCATTTATAATCGTTATCATAGACAACCTAATGCGACTATGAGAGGGAAAAAATTGTAGAAAACACTAAAAAAACAAGATCAGCTGTTTGAAAAAAGATAAGATATTTACAAAAGATTTTGATTATATATAACTGTTGTGTAGATTGTGAGTATTTCCATAATCTTTGAGTCACCTGTAATGCAATTGCTCGAATTCGAGCAACAGGTAAACTAGTAAATATAATTTTTGAAGCTTATTTTTAAAATTTATTTTCTAAAATGCTCAGGTCATCTCACTGCATATTTAGGTTTGAACATGGTTAAATCTCTGCCCTTTTTCTCAATCTTGACGAAGACGAATCCAAAATGAGTTACGAGGTAAATAGATTAAAACTCTTTTTAAGTGACATTTTGTATTTCAGGCCTATTTTTTTAATAAATAATTAACACAAACTATTCTATAACGGAAAATGCATAACGACTTCTTTTATTATCGTAATAGTTTAATAATGTGGTATTCGTCTAAAAAATTTTGTTTGCAGGTACAGTTTCTAAAAAGATCAACAAGCTATTTTAGTCCAAGCAATAATGATAATTTTAGCATTACTTTATCCAAATCCAAAATTTAAAGTTGGTTGAATAACTAATTTGACTCCTTGTATTCATTTTAGTTCTTTAGCGACACTTAAATTTATGTGGCTCAAAAGGACTCAGCCGACGTATTCTTAGTTCTCGAATCTATTACAATTTATTATTTTAGGGTTATTGCCAAACTGCTATATTTACAATCATATCCTGGGTATATCCAAGTGTGTACATAGTTGACCTGGTGTATTTCTGGATTGAAACTAACTCAAGTAGTCTTTGTCCCGTTATTTCTCAAGTAGACGTCGCTTGAAGGTAACTTGCACATTTCACACTCTAGCCTTGCCCTTCTAGGTTCAAGGCAAATCGTCTAGACCCACCTTTATGCTTCCGTCAGTCTTGTCTAAGTACAAAGGGTTTGTCTAAGGATATTTGCAGGGCTAGGACATTCGATCCAAACAATTGTTGACGAATTTCAAACAAATTTTTAAATAGGAAAGTAATTATTTAGAAAACCGTATAGCCCATAGGTCTGAGCTATTAAAAATATATATGTATTGGTGTATTTTACAAGTACTACAGCTCAGAGGTGAATAAAATGGATGAAATACATTCCCTGTCCGTGGTTACCACCCTCTGATTTACACAACCTACGCCGTATTGTACATGTACTGTCCTTTATTCAGGGAAATATTTACTAGTAAAACTAATTTTAAAATTAAGAACGAATAACATTTTGATAGATTATCCTTACACAAAAAAGAGTGGTTGAAGAGTTAGTTTTTGTTTAGTGTATGGACAAGTGTTTTGGGTATCAGGTAATAAAAAATCTATTTATTGTTTTTATGACATCATAGAGTGAGTTTTATAGACGGATTAGAGGGAAGATAATATAAATTATAAGATTAAAACTAACTGAGTATAAAGTAATGTTGCTTGTGTAAGAAGCTAATATTCAAAATTTTGAATTTTAGTAGTTATAGTTTGTCACGTTTATTTATTTATTTAAGCTCACATTTATTAGGTAGTTCAAACCCCATCTTGGAGTAGAACCCAAAGTCGAAAACTCCATAATTTTACTGTTTATTTTTTTAATATACAAAAAAATAAGTTAATTTCAAACAACTTATATAAATGGATAAAATATTAATATCACATTGTAGTCGTGAACAGAAAAAAATCAATAATGATAAAATTTAAGTTTAGTACACTGCAAATATTGTTCTCATTTCTTTTGTCATGCATAGTCAAAATCATTCGGACATAACTGAAAATACATCAATTCAATGAGTAAAATGAACTAAGGGTGTTTCCAATACACACAATCTTTAACTTTAAAAATATTTTTCATAATTCCAGTTACGTGTATTACTAATTTAAAATTACTTGTGGGAATTGTACGCGCTTGAACGGACTTCCCAAGAGCTATCCATAGTCATCTGTAGTCATCTCTTTTCAACGAAATTAAATTAGCGTCACAACAAAGTAGGCATAGCCTATTATTACCTAGGTCATCTTCATACCGGGAAAACAAATTAATATTGCGATTAAATTCAGAAATCGCAGTTATCAGACAATACGAGTTATTTGATTGAATAATTGATGTCGTAAAATATTTCTTCGACCTAAATACATATGTTTTTACTCTATTACTCATAACCGGTTCTAGTAACATTTAATTTGATTCTTAGAATAGATTAAAATCCCTAACAATATTTTTTATATATCCCTTTTTTTCGTTTTTTATATCCCTAACGATGTTATATTTTAGCTAGTGAACTATCCCTTCTGATTCACACGTTTAGCTTGTTCAAAAAGTGAAAATATTGATAAAAAATCATATTCCATGAAAACATCAATATACAGTATTAACGTCTCATGGAGTGATATAATCAAGTACATCGTGTTTATGAATAAATTAGGGAAGGTTTCTTCAAATAAAAGAGGAACTCAGTTAGTTTCGCTTTCTTATCATTCTAGCACAAAAAAAAACAAGTGTCCAAAATCAAACAATACTAACTGTATTTGTGCCTTCTTCCTGCGAGTTCTTCCTGAAGGTAGGTTCGATTCCAAGCTATATCGTTTCTGGACCCACGTGGTATTTGTCATTGATCTATCAATTGATAGCTATGTAACAAAAGGTTGACGTTAAATGTTTAAAAGACCAGGGGTTGAGATTGTTCCCTAACAAAACCCGTTAAAATTTTGATGACGTAGCAGGACAAATAATTGTTAAGACAAAAACTTCAGTCCTGATTCCTGATTCTGGGAGCTCGACTAGTAGATACAGATTAATCCGATTGATTACAAACCCCCAATGGTAGTAACCACTATGCTGTCAGATAGAGCATTCAGTGAAGCTATTTTAAATAAGATATGTCAACACTACTTGGTTGGGTACAGTGAAATCCAATTAATCGCATCCTACCTGATAGCACCGACACTAATCCACTGAGTAATCCCAACCAACGAAACTATTTAATTGCTATTTCCCTTAATTTGCTGTTCATACTGCAGGTTTGATGTGTTATGAGAACTAACCCTACTATAAACGCTTTAGACACACCCGGTGCCTGACAAAGTGTGTTTCAATACACTTTGCAGTATTAATAAATAATAAATAATATAAATAAAAATATAAGTTGTTTTAAAATCGAATTCAACCCAATTTCTTCCCAGCATTATAATTACTGTACGCCAATGGTTTACTGATACACATTTTTACATTTTTGTCTTGATTCAGTGATTTCACATTGTTTATATGAGTGTTGACGTCAGTTACCTCAATTATTTATTTGTTTTATTCCAATGCTACAAAACAGACTAAACCCAATTACATTGCAGCATTAATATGTTGCGAAAAAAACTTGGCATGCGTAAAATAATAAAATTGTAAAAGTGTATCATGCTGAAGAAATAATAAGTTTTAGTGTATACATTCACAACAATGCAATAGATGACAAGAGAATAGATAGCATTAATAAACTAGAAAAAATCTTTAAATATAACATTGGCAATTATTTAAATATCTAACAACAATAACGAATTAAATAAATACCTACACAACATTTATAGTTATGATCAAAGACAGATTATGGTAGTTATAAAGATGACTATTAACAAAATTAAACAGTCTATTCCACCCCTAAGCTTATTCCGTTTAGCTTTCCTGAGTTTTCCTGTAGACCTAATCGTATTAATACTTTGGAGAAATCTCAGATAATTTTAGGTTGAGGAAGCATTCCAGTAAATTATTCTATTGTTCAAGCAAGGCAACGAACAGGTTAGTATTCACTCCGATTTCTAATTTGTATTTCAGCTTGGAATAAC